AATGCCAATAACATTTTCCATGTTTCATTATGATTAGCATAAAATTTTATGATTAACCTATTATTTTTCATTTTCCTTTATATTAAAATTTTGCAGCATATAAATATATTTCTCAAATGATCAGTGAAAGTCATGGTCAGGAATTATTTCAATAATAGATAAATCAACTACATACAAATAGAGTAACATGCATAATTAATGGCAAATACATTAAAGAAAAAGTTGTAATGAATAATAACATAACCTAATAAGATGCGAATAAATTTATAAATAAATGAACTACTTATAAAGATATTTACATGTAATTTATCAGGAAATTTCAAAGGCTTATGAAAATAAGAGGGCTCAAGTAAATTAAGAATTAACCATGAATGACAGATTCAGTTGCTTAGAAAAAAAATGACATGCAGCTTGAAAACGACAGAGATCTTCATAAAAAAGCATAAAATTTTATGAATCGAACAATTACTACTGCAATACAACAGAATCATAAAAGATTCCCTAAAGCAATAATCTTTCCATTGCAAAATAAGAAGGAATGGAAGAAAATTGGGTTTTTTTACATAATACCAAGATATGGACTTAATTAGGGTTTTCTCAGACAAAAAAAAAATCATTGAATCTAAAAAAAGAGAACGGCGAAGAATAAATAGATTAACTTAATGAGGGTTTCTTCTGGGGGAAGGGGTGAACTAATTTCGCATTTTCTCTGAGTTAAGGATTCAAAGGATCTGGAAAGGAGAACGAGAAAGAGTAAAGGTGGGGACTTATTGAGGGTTTTCTCTGAGGCAAGGAATCGACGGGTCTAGAAAGAAGAAGATCAAAGAGAGTAAGTATGGATTTAAGGCACAGGCGGTTCTCCTGAGGCAAATAATCGACGGGAATGGGATACATAACGATAATTTTTTTGGTTTTTACAAATAAGCCATTGACATTTGAATAATGATATTTAATTCCCTAAGTTAGTGACAATTAAGCCATGGATATATAACTTTATTAAGATTTGCATCAACCTCTGCATTATTTATCTGTAATATATAAATTTTTAATTACAATATGTCACATTATAATATTCAATAATTGAGGGATTATTTGTATTATTAAGTAACCGTTAATTTAATTTATGCACACTGAGTACTTCAACTTTCAAGGTTAACGAGAATTTTTTGTATGCTATTTTCTATATGGCTAGACATAATCTTATCGTTGATAAATATCGATTTTCGGCTAGCCCGTGCTTGGCACGGGCCATAATTCTAGTTTTCTTTACCATAATAACAAGTGTTATGCATGTGCCAACTTTGTTTTATTTGTTTTGTATATTTGAATTTTTTTTCTATGAATGTCTTTTTAGTTATACCCATACTTCTGAATTGAATTGTACTAAAATTTTCTCCCTCGGTTGTTGCTCCTTTTTATTTTGTTTGCTAGACACTCCACTTTTCTTATGAATAGAAGCATGCAAATTGCTTATATCATAAAAATCAACATGAAATTATTCATTAACTGCACCCATATTATTTTGAACATAACATGTGAGATGAAAAGCAATTGTTTGAATTTGAAATTTAGTATTACACAACTTCTGTTGCAACTTCTTTATTTATAAAGGAGATACAAAATAAGGATGTGAATGAATTTTACTTCATAATTTGAAATTTGAAATTAGATAGCTTAACTACAAATTCATCTTTTAAAACATCTCTTTTATTTTAAATATTTTAAACTTAAAAAGAAAAAAGAAGTAAGCATGTGGATAGTTTTTATTTTATATTTTAAAATGCAAAATTAGGGAGGGCTGGCATGTGCTAGATTTTTGAGATATATGACTAATAGTAAACCACAAATATCTTCTTATATATAAATGAGATATTTAAACAATTTCTTTTTCTATCTATTCCCTTTATATATAGTTCATCTTGTCCTTTAAAGTTACTGCCCCTCTCAGAATAATAGATCACGGTTTCCTTTATTTATGATGTTTTTCATTCAATTCTCTTATCTATTTATGATTTCCAACCTCGTCTTAATTTAATAGGCAAGATACATTGTAATTTTTTATATCATTTAGATATTTGTTTGAATTTTTAGATTTTTCAGGGGGTTGTTTATAATTTTTAAATTTAAAAAAGGATTATATGTAGTTTTTGAATATTTCAAGAGGTTGTTTGTAATTTTAGACTTTTAGGGTCTTTTTTGTAATTTTGTAATTTTTTGGGCTATATGCAATTTGTTTTTTTAGGGATTTTTTATAATATCTTGATTATTAGGGGATTGTCTGTAATTTTAGGAATTTAAAAGGAGTTGTTTGTAATATTAGATTTTTTCCTATTTGAGTAGTTTGTAATTTTAGATATTTTAGGAAGCGATATGTAGTTTTTATGTTCTTTAGGGTTGTTTGTAATTTTATTTACTAACATCCAAATAAGAATGATCTCAGTGGTATATATTGGTCTTGAAGATTAATTTTTATTAATATAAAATTATGGAGTAATGTCATTATGGAGTTTAAATGCAAAATTCAAAATTTTCTCAGAATTTTCTTAAATTCCCGCACTCAATGGGTCTTAGTGAGAGTTTTAAATATCTTTGGGATTTAATGCTATATGCCCAAAATTATTAAAAATTTAGGGAAAATTAAATTAAAGAGGACCACATGTTAATTTTTTAGAGGTAAGACATGGGGAAATATTAAAACAACAACGAAGAAAGGAAAAATAATGGAAGGAAAAAAAAAAGAAATCAAATGAAAAGAGAATCTAAAAAATGATTATTATATTTTTTAAATTATGAATAACTATAATTTATTAGAATTAAATAAATATAGGATTAACTAAAAAACTATGGATTGAATGAGTCCAAATCCAGAGAGCACATTATGATTATTAGGGCTCAGTTTGGATACTATGATGTTTTACTTGTTTCCATGGTGTTTTCGCCAAAAAGAAAACACCATGCGTTTGAAAACCATGATGTTTTTTGAGCTAAATCATCATCAAACTAAAAACACAACACTTATTTCAAAATATCTCTTAGGTATTTTAAGTTTGTTGTTTTGGTGTTGAGTTTGAGAAGGCGTTAATATAATATCTAACATAATATATTAAATGTAATTAATATAGAGTTATTATCAACATGCTTATTATATTATACTATACTGTAGTATATTATAGTTAATTTAATATATTAATAATATTTATTAAATAATATAAAAATTTAATAAATAAAATATCTTATATAATAATATAATAACATATTAAATACCAACATTTAATATGTTAATAATGTATTATATAATAAATAAATTAATATAAAATATAAATAAACTAATAAAAATAATAAAAAGTTTATGATAATAAAAATATTATAATAATGATATAATAACTATACTTACAATAGTATAATCGTTTATTAATTTTTTAATTTTTTTAATAAATAAATTCGTAATATTATTAATATTATTAAAATATTATATAATAGTAAAATATTTATAATAAATAACAATATAATAATACTCATTATAATTAACATATTGTTATAGTAAATTAATATATACATAAATATTAATATATTATGCTAATAAATAATATAATTTATTATAAAGTAAAATAAATTTTAATAATAAAATATTTATTGCTTAACAAATGTTAATGCTAAAAATATTATATTCATTAATATATAATATTATTTATACATTAAATACTAATATATTATTAAAGTACTATTAATTAAACTCTAACATATTACTATAATATTATTACTTATATTAAAATAGTTATAATATATTCAATTTATTAGTAACCATACTTAGTAATAACATAATATTATACATTATTAATTAATATTATTATTATATTGAATAATAAGATAATATTATATTATATTAAATTAATATTATAATATTATATTAATAATAAAATAATTATTATAAAAATATTAATATAATATACAACAATAACAAATTGATATACCAAAATGATTAAATATATAATTATCTAAAAATAATATATAATAATTATACTATAATAATAATTATAATATAATATAACTCATTAAAGTATAATATAATATTATAATACATTATCCAATATTATATTGCATTACATTTAATACTTATAATACTACAATAATGTAAACTAAATATTATAATATTTTATTTATAATATATTTTATTATAATTAATATATAATATATTAATAATATGTTTAATACTAAAGTTATAATGGGTCAAACTAGTGTTGATAAAAAATACTTTACATGATATTTTGAAAAAAAATTAAGGGAAAAACGCAACACCATGGTATTTATTTATAAAAACATAACAAAAAAAACACCATGATATCCAAACGACGCCCCTAGGTTTTTTAGTTATGAGTAGTTGTAATTTGATTAGGATTGTCATTATTAGAATTTTTTTTAATTTCGAAAAGTTTTCACTTGATGAGGATTCTCTAGTGAAAATAGAATTAGGCGTTTATATATATGAAGGAGGATATGACACATGTCATTGTTTTGGATGTTTAGGGGACATTGTTTTGTGCCTTTAGGAAGAATTTACCAATTTATTGTAAGTATAAAGGAGTGACATAATTGGCCTCAAGTTTTACGACAATCATTGTAATTTATTTGTCTTGATGAATCCTATGTAGTCAATGTTACTGACGATTGAATATTTCCTTGAGGATGCTTAAAATTTGGAGCAACCATACCAGTAACATTTTTTATGCGGGATTATACCATCAAACTATAACCCTTTGAATGGAATATTGTATGAAAAAGTTTACGAGTGGTTGTATATCAACTGATTGACAGATTGGGGTGATTTTCCGTAACTCAGATAATTAAGAGCCTTGGAGTAAAAATGTATAGGAAAAGTTCTTAGAAATATATATATAATTTTTTTTTAGAAAAATAACATCTCATAGGCGAGGAAAAGAAAAGGAAAAGTAAAGAAAGGAAAAAAGAGGGGTAAAAAGAAGCCAGGGGAAATTAAACCATGAACTATTTTAGAAAACACAAAACAGAGACAAGTTCTTTCGATCGACGTCCTCAGTTCTAATTTCTAACCCCTGGAGGTCCCTCAATTTTCAATGGCTCTTCGCTCACCAATACCCTTCTCCATCGTCTAAAAATCCCACAAAACCCCTAAATTCTCTGTAACTCAGCAATAACGAACTAAATCTCGAGATCTCAATTTGCTTCTCCCCAAAATGCTTCGATTGAGAGCTTTTCGCCCTTCGAGCGAGAAGATCGTCAAGATCCAGCTCCATCCAACTCACCCATGGCTCGTCACCGCCGACGACTCCGATCACGTCTCGGTTTGGAACTGGGAGCATCGCCAGGTATTTAGATCTGCCGAGATTTCGATTTGTTTTTTTTACTTTACTGGAAAATCTGAGATTTTTAGATGGACTTTTGTTTCATTGTCCTTGATTTCCGCAGGTGATCTATGAATTGAAAGCAGGTGGAGTTGATGAGAGGCGGTTAGTGGGGGCGAAGCTGGAGAAGCTGGCCGAGGGTGAATCAGGTTGGTTCTTTGCTGATATCTAATTAAATTTTGAAATTGAAATGGATAATGTAGCTGAACTATAATATGTGAATAGATTGCAGTCAATTATATGAAGCCACCACGGTAACATATTCTGAATAACAAAATGAGCAATAGCATCTCATTTGTTAGACATTAGCTTACGTAAATCTTTAAGTATCAAAGTACTTCCTAGTTAGCAGTTTTGGAAAACTACTTCAAGAACTTAGCGGTTCATAAAAACCCAGAAAGCTGTGTGAGGTATTCATTGTGAGCTCAAAAAAATCCTTTTATGCTTGTGGGAATGCACTTTCCTCGAAAATAACCTAAAACACAAACACTGAAAGGGCTACATGTTGAGGGGAAGTATATTTCTAAGCAGCTTAATCAGAAGCAACAAGCTTAGTTGTTCTAGTAATGGCAACAACATTCCGGCATAATATCTTTACGACCTTTTTCTCAAAAGCTTAAATATGGCAGAGATAATGTCACATTATAGTACCGTCTCAGGCTTCTGACTTTCAACACTCAAGATGGTGAAGACTAGTCCAATCATCGTAAAATGGAAACTTTCCATTATATATTACACCGGAAAATGTAGTCCTAGGGCTCTTCATTGAGTGTTCAATGTTGGGTGTATAGTATTGTTCTATTTGTTAAGAATTTCTCTTGCATCCTCTATCTCTCTCAAGAGTCTATATGGTGATATGCAAAACTTTAGAGCATTAGCAGAATGCAAATTATCACATGATAAAAAAGGAATTTCATGGATGATTGGACAACAATGAAGATTGATTTGGTGGAGTTCGACTTAGTTAAATGATCTCCACCAAAAGAAAAAAAGGAAAAGAAAAGAAAGAAATTGTAGCATGTAGGTCACGAAGAGTCACAATATTTAATATGTAGCTAATGTCAATATGTGGTGGGTAAAGATTCAATATCCAGTCCACAGGCCCTTTTTCACATATTTGATGGTTTTGGGCCTTCCAGCTATGTCTCAACTTGGATTTTGGTTTTGGCATTTAGATTTGAAGTATGAGAAATAAGAAATGGGTCATGGTTTAAATTATGTACAATATTTTATATTGATATGCAGTTTTCTCCTCCTTCTACCATCTCATTGTCATCCTCGTAGCACTTGCATGTTCACTAGAACAATGTCACAGAAAGCGTTAGGCACTGGACCGACTACTAGGGCCTAAGCACCTAAGACTAGAATGCTTAGGTGGGCCCTAGGCAGATTTCTATTTTTTGTTTAAGTGGTGGTGGAGGACATTTTGCTGAAGGTCCGAGGACGTATTGTTCATAGTTGGTGGAAGAGGTCGGAGGAGTTCAGAGGACGTGGAGCCGGTAGTGGAGGAAATCATGACTAATACCTAAGCGGAGCAGTCCTCGTAAGTGGCCCATGCTCCCCTTGGTGCTTTCAAGACTTAGGTGGGTGGCCTAGGTACCGCCTAGGCATAGGCGGGCTAGGTGCCCGCTTTTTTTAAACATTGCACTCAAATACGTGCGCTGCATATTTTGTTTCATGCATTCTATGCTATATAGTTACTTGTCAATATACCATGACCCTTTCTGTCGTTTCTAGAATCTAAAATTTCTCATTCAGTTGGTCAATCTAGATTTTAAACCATTAAGCTTAGACATAATTTGTGTTAAAATATTTTTCAATAATGATGTCTTTCAATATAAAAATATGTATTCGTGTTGATTAAGGGAGAGAGGCCTTTAAAGGGGCCGGTCCTGTTGCATAAAGAAATTATTGGATCTTGTTTGACGCTAGCACTTGTACTTCTCATATGATGTTAGTATAAGCCTCACATTTTCCTGAATGTGGGTAGATGTCATCTTCCACGTTATCGAACATATTTTAGATTGAGTTGAGATAGTGATGGATGTCATCTTCTGTTTAAGAGTGGCATCCACTGGTAGATATCTTGTCATCAAATTTTCCGTTGCCTACTTGTTAAATAATGCTATATTGCTTGCAGAGCCCAAAGGAAAACCAACAGAAGCCATCCGTGGAGGAAGGTAATGGATATTATGATTACTGTATCATTATTTGTTATTGTTTTCTTTCACTTTTGATTGGCTTTGCAGAATCTCTATAACTGAAATCCTGTTATGGGTGAAATTTGGCTTCTTAGCGTGAAACAGGTTAGCTTTTATGATGATGATGTGAGGTACTGGCAACATTGGCGCAATCGCTCAGCAGCAGCAGAAGGCCCATCTACACTGAGTCAACAATCTTCTGCTTTTGGCTCTCCAATCCCATCCACCAGGGGGAGGCATTTTCTTGTCATATGCTGTGAGAATAAAGCTATATTTTTGGATTTGGTGACAATGCGGGGGCGGGATGTACCTAAGCAGGAGCTTGACAACAGATCACTTCTTTGGTAAATCCAGAATTTCACTCACTTAGGCTTAGGGTCGAAGTAACATATTTTCTTCATATGGTTGATGTTTTTACAGTCCATAATGAATTTTTGAGGTAGCATATAACTTAAACTTGAAAGTCTACTCACTTGCTTTATCGTATAATAACACATCAATGTTCTTTTCGCTATATTAATATGAAATATGAACCTATGATCCACTTGGTTCATCTTAGTTAGTGTGTTACAAGAAAAATTGTGAATCACAGTATCACAGTTATCAAAAATCTTGACTGATACATTTCTGAACTTAATTTTCTTTTACAGTATGGAATTTCTCTCTAAAACTGCTGCTGGCGATAGCCCTCTTGTTGCTTTTGGTGGATCTGACGGCGTAATAAGAGTTCTCTCTATGATAACATGGAAGGTTTTGATGCCTACCCCAAGCTTTTAGTCATTGATAATACATCTAAGCATTTGAATGTATCAGTTGTGAATATTTTTGGCAGCTTGTTCGAAGATATACTGGCGGTCATAAGGGATCAATCTCTTGCTTGAAAACATTCATGTCTTCTTCTGGCGAGGTAATGCTCTATCATAAGAAATTTGTTCTGTGCCAGGGAGTTCTTCATTTACAGTTTTAAAGCAGTGCATGCCAATATGTCTGCTAGCCACTCTTCCCCAAGGTGGATATGAAGCGAGCTAAAGAAGTGCCTAGTAGATTCTTCATTAATAGACCCTCCTTCATCTCCCCTTCTTATGTTTCATTCACCCATTTTGATACATTAGAATCGTCTGGTAGAATTGTATGTTAGCTTATATCTTTTATTAAAGCTTTCCTAGTTCACCTTAGCCCACTGATTTGGTTCTCTACCTTATGCTTCCCATGCAAAAAAGATAGAAAACAGGAAATGCATATTTGTCTTGTGCAAAGCATAAAATCTTAGGGATGTTTCAGCTGATGTGCCGGTGTAAGGATAACTGATGTTGTATTTGGCGTGGAACTAGAAAGTTAAGCTGCTAGTAATAAGTATGCATATTTAATCATGATAAAACTAGTTCTCCGATGGGCCTACCACTAATGAAGATCTTATTTTTCATGCCTAGAAGTTAATAATCACTGAATATTCTTTCCCAGCCAATCTTTAATCTAGCATCTCTTCATTGCAGGCTCTCTTGGTTTCTGGTGCTAGTGATGGGTTGCTTATAATCTGGAGTGCAGATCATATTCATGATTCACGTGAACTTGTTCCCAAGCTTAGCTTAAAGGTAGTCATAACTTTGAGCTTATTGTTTATAAGAGCCCTTAGTTGCATATTGACACTGTATTATGTTTGTTTGCTGGCTGTTAATCATAGTTTTTTGGGCTCAAAAGTAATCAACTTGATTTCTTACTGTAAACACAAAGCAATATGCTCTTTTCTGCTTTATAATGACAATGTTCTTGACTTTTCAAGGCACATGATGGAGGGGTGGTTGCTGTAGAACTGTCAAGGGTGATGGGAGGTGCACCACAACTTATTACTATTGGTGTTGATAAAACCTTAGCTATATGGGATACTATTTCATTTAAGGTGCCACACACACATCTTCCCCTTGTTTTGTGATTGCATGGTGCTTTTCAAATGTTTATGCATTTATCATTTATATTTACTCAGGAACTGAGACGTATAAAACCTGTTTCAAAACTTGCTTGTCATAGTGTGGCATCTTGGTGCCATCCTCGTGCTCCAAACCTTGATATTCTTACTTGCGTCAAAGATTCACATATCTGGTATGTATATCTTTCCTTGGCATATTACTTCTGCTCCTGTTTCGACATTCTAAATAACACAATTTAGTTCTAAAAAAATTAAATCTTGATGTTCTACAACTTTTGATCAGGGCTATTGAACATCCTACATATTCAGCTTTGACGAGGCCATTGTGTGAATTGTCGTCACTTGTTCCTCCACAAGTACTTGCAACTACCAAAAAACTTAGGGTATGCATATTGTTGGACAACTTTGTTCACATTCATATCTCCGTGAATACCTTTGCCCTTGCTTGCTATTTTTACAGTTGATCATTTATACAGATAACATCATGAATTACAGTTCCAAAGTGAATGCCAAAATACTCATAACTTACTGATCATATCTCAAATTAAAATCTAACAATTTGGACGTGTCTGTAATGCTAATGTTTTTGGAAAATCTGAATGACCATGCTTACTTAGGTTGAACATGTTCCTATAATTATTGGTTTTATGCCTCACAATTGGCTCCATCCTGGCATGGGGAAATGGGTTAGTCTTTGTGAATATACTATGAGGATTGAGCTGGAGTATTGGAGAATCTTGGTATTAGTTAACGGCTGACAAAATTAAATCTATATGGTTCCTAACTCATGGTCATGGTGCTTCCTTTGAAAACTATTGTTTGCGACCTCAAAGTCAACCAGATATGGTTATGACACTTGTTTTCTTGGTGTATAGAGCCCCCTCTAACCTTTGGGAAGACACATTGGTTCTCTTATGGTCTTGTAGACTGGCACTAGTAAGAACATGTTGATTGGAGTTGCTTTATAAAATTATGACATAGCATTATTTGCACCTCTTGAAGAGTTCAGGTCTAGTGGAATATTAGGAGTTCATATGGAAGACCATGTTACCTAATGTAGCGGTTTTGTGGACCATCAACTCATCAACTTCTTGCAGCTGGGTGGGAACTCAGTGGTTATCAGTCACTGAGGTATTTCTTAAGCCAGTTAGCCTATAAAATTTGCGACCTTTGCTAACAAATTACCACCTTTGTATACTGTTACCACCTTTGTATACACTTAGAGTCACTTGACTTCACACTGAATATTTTGAACTGATCAAGGCAATGCAAGAATAATACAAGTAAATGTCCTTTTATTTCGTGTTTAATTATTTCAACTGCTTATGTAATATATGCCTTTTAATCATACTGGGCACCATTTGTTAGAATTTATGCAGTGGTATCTATCTTGTAGGTCTACTGCATGGTCGCACATCCATTACAACCCCACCTTGTTGCCACCGGAACAAATATTGGTGTTATTCTGAGTGAGTTTGATCCAAAATCCCTTCCAGCTGTTGCTGCTCTACCAACACCACCAGCCAGCAGGGTGCATTCCGCTGTATATGTAGTTGAAAGGGAGCTTAAATTGTTAAATTTTCAGCTTTCTAACACATCCAATCCAGCCCTTGGTTCTAGTGGCTCCTTATCTGAGGCAGGAAAATCAGATTCAGCTGAATCTTTGCAAGTTAAACAGACTAAGAAGCATATTAGCACCCCTGCGCCACATGATTCATATTCAGTTCTCTCTGTGAGCAGTTCTGGAAAGTGAGTTACTAGTTTCTTATGCTAGATATTCGCATTTTTCACTTAACGGTTTCTGTCCATTTTTCATTTCATGGTTAGTTTTGCTTTCATCTAAAAGAAGTAAAGTGGTGTCTCTGGTCTGAGATGTCCACACAGTTATTTGCTTCTAATTCTTCAGTATATTGCTAATATAAGGTGGAATATTGGCTTTGGACTCTTGCCATTAGGGATGGAAACAAACAGAATTTGGTCGAATACCTTTAAATTCGAATTTGAATTCGATTTACTCCAGCGAATTTGAATTCGATTTACTCCAGCGAATTTGAATTCGTATTCGTATTCGTATTCAAATTCGTGTCGAATGGGTAGAAGGTGTACAAATTCGATATGATCTTTTAACTAGCTATTCGGTCATTATTTATGAATATTTGCTAGCACACTTGATTGAGGCACTTGTTTCTTAAATCTGACGTTATGGGTTTGAATCCTACGTTCGTATTTTATTTTTTTTATTTTCTTTTTACATGTTGCATGATTACTTAATGATTACTATGATGTCTTACTACTAAAATTATTAAATTCATATATTTATAAATTATTAATTTATATATTTATCAATAGTAATATTAATAATATTATGTAACATAAAAATTAGTACAATGCAATGATGTAGAAGCAGAAAAACATCTCATTATAGATTTTATATCTACATAAATTCATTTTATATCAAACTTTTTTAGTAGATTAAGAATGTAATCTAAGCTAAAATTTGATTAAGAATTTATTTCTAATAAATATTTTGTTATGATATATGTCGACATGGAAGTGCAACTTTAAACGATAAATGTTCTATGATAAATTAAACTTAAGAGGAATAAAATGTAAAACATAAACGAATATTTAATAATCAACCAAATGGAATACACCTTTAGTTAAATTCTATTCGTTATAAGCCGAATACTAAAAAGATATTCGTTTACAATTAAATGAACTATCAAATCGAATATGATTGAATATCTGGACGAATAATAACCGAAAAATTTATTAATTATTTGGTTCATTTCCACCTCTGCTTATCATATATCAGTCAATAAATTTCATTTTTTTGGTAAATGCGTACCTAGTAGGTATTACTTAGTAGGCATTACTCCATAAGAACTCTTGAAGGAGGTATTTAAATTGCTTTTGATTCTTCTTCCTCTTCCTCTTCCTTTGTGCATGTGCATGTCTCTATGTCTGTTGTTCACTTGTTTGCCTCTTTGCATGTCACTTGTATATAAGCATCTGTGTTTCTGCCTGCGTGTGCCTTACATCTTTATCATTATTATATTGTACGGAAATTGTGTGCATGTGGCACGAGGTCTTTATTATCAAGATGAAGATATTCATGACCTTATAGCTCTTTTGTAGCACATTATTTTGAGGCAAAACTCCAAGAACTCATATTTCTAATAAGGGTAAAAATCGAAAATCATACTTGCACTGGAAGATAAGATAGACTTACTTTTGACCGTAATCAGTCAGCCACTTAAAATATAACGTTGCTTGGTTGAGTGGTATTATGTTAAAATTTTCCTTAGACTATCAATCATTTAACATTCGTTGCTCACCGATTTTCCTAATTGGGACAAAGGGTGACATTGAGCTATCCTATGAAATTCTTTCTGATTATAAACGTGAAGAGTAGTTTGATAAAATCTTTTGGAAGTCCAACCATTCACATCCATTAACATATTTTAAACTTCTTGAAAATATTATGTTGATATACGAATTTTATCAAATACCATGCAATAATGATTTATAACTTTACCGATATATTCTTTTATGTTTATCTATTTTAAGTATGTTTAGACATGTGCATATGTACATATACATAAGTATATCTTCCGAGGGATGAGTCTGAGACTTAATTGCTAAACTGAAGATTTTGTCACTGTTATATTGCAGGTATGTCGCTATTGTGTGGCCCGATATTCCTTCATTTGCAGTGTACAGGGTTATTGATTGGGTAGTTGTTGACTCAGGGACTGGTAGGCATTTTGCTTGGGATACTTGTCGTGATAGATATGCTTTGCTGGAGGCAACGTTGGCTCCAAGAATGCCCATTATCCTTAAAGGTGGTTCATCTAAGAAAGCGAAAGAAGCTGCTGCTGCAGCAGCTTGCAGCAGCTAGTGCAGCTTCTTCTGCAACTGTGCAAGTCAGAATCTTACTGGATGATGGGACTTCACATGTTCTGACAAGGTCTATAGATGGTCGTAATGAACCGGTAAATGCTAAGTTGCTACTTTCAATATGGATCTTTATATTGCCATACCTTTATGTCTAATTCATCAACATGGCTTCTTTTCTATTCTTATAGCCCATGACTATGGGTGTTATATTATTGACTCTCTAGCTTCTAAGCTTTTTATATCGCATTGTTCTTTAAGTCAATGTTACATTAAACGTTGGGCGCTTCTAGGCGTCGGACTTGGCGCCCATCGCTTAGTCGCCTAGGCGGGCGCCTAAGCGGTTTCTAGGCATTTTTTTATTTTTTATTTTCTTAATTGTGATACTTAAAGATAAATATATATATATATACTCAATCAAAGATGCATAAATACTAAAATACCAACACTATTAACTAAATTGCTTGGTTTACCAATTACAATAGCTCTTTGTATGTTTATACTTCTCAACTCAAATTATAAGTTCATCTCAATAGTGAAAAACTCATTCTCGACTCAAATTACTGTTAACTTATAAGCTACTGTTAAGTTTAAGTTAACAATAAACTTAAACTTAAGTTTACTGTTAACTAAAATATTGTTAAATTAAGTTTACTGTTTACTTAAACTTAAGTTTACCATCAACAAAATACTTAATATTAACTTAAACTTAAACTTAAACTTAAGTTTACTGTTAGCTTAAACTTAAGTTTAACTTAAACTTAAACTTAAGTTTACTGTTAACTTACATTTTTTAAGTGTAAGTTACTGTTGTTAACTAACCTAAATAGATATTTAAGAAGTATTCTTTATCTTGTTAGTAGTTACAGAGATCGGAGGAGCTCGGCAATGTTACAGAAGATATTAGGCAGACTAGGCGTTTGAGCGAGCGCCTAGCGCCTAGACCCTTGGGCGTGCGCCCAGGCGTTTGACTATTTTTAAATTATTTAATTATAATAATTAATAAAAAGATATGTATTAAATTCATATAAATTTTCCAAAAAAGATAGCAATATTAGTTCCACAATAAATCATGCATACTTAGATACTAAATAGCCAAAATAATAATTAACAATGCTAGAGTCTAAGATGTTTTCTTTTTTTATTTTTAATTACAATAATTGATAGTGAATGTTAATGTTATAGAAAGCTTAGATATCGGACTGGTGTCTAGGCGGATTTCTTTCTTCATTTAAGTGGTGGTCGATGAGGTTTTGCTGAAGGTCGGAGGAGGTAGTGGAGGTGTTCATATTTGGAGGTTAATGAAGTTTGGAGGATGTGTAGGCTACAACACATAAAATCACAACCAAAGCCTACATGGTGCAATCCACGTAAGCAGACAATGCTCCCCTAAATGCTCGTAAAACCTAGATGGGCAGACTAAATACCGTCTAGGCGCTAGTTAGGCGGCCTAGGTACCGCCTAGGCCTAGGCGTACGCCTAAGCGGACTAGGCGGAGGTTTTTTAAAACAGTGAGTTTAAGTGATGAAAGGTTTTTTGCATCTTCAGCTTTTATTATTGTAGATCAACATATGAGGGTATCCATGTTAAGCTGGTGTACCAGCTTGCTTGATAATTTCAAGGGTGTGCATGAACATGCCTTGAACTTTTAACTTAATCAGGCATAAGCTGCCTTGTTACGTTCAGCATCTCGAGTTAAATGCTAGAGTTCGGTGGTGTTGATTAAGTAGGTCAAGCTTGGTTTTGGCTTGTTTACATTGGACATGGCGATCAATCCCTTAAGCTTGTTTGGTGTTTGAAAAGCTAGAATTAATAATTATCTATTTAATCAATATTCGTAAAAAGAGGATAACAGCCCAATGATACTTTTATCCAGATAAGGAGCCAGAAATTTCGTGCAGGTGAACACAACAGTACTAATGTACTTCTTGTGTTATGACATTAACATAGTTCGCAACTGCATATGGGTGTTGGTTTAAACTCAAACTCGGTCTTGAAGTGGTTCTATCTATTATGGAGTTTAATATGAAAAATGTAAAATCCAACATATTACTGTCAATTGTATGCATGGGAAAACAGAAATGCTATGACATGACTTCATCACTTGATTTGTCAATGATTATTCTATGAAATTTGAATAATGAACTAAACTTCTTGTAATATCATCAAGGATGGTTATGAAAATACTTAATGTTGGGTGGTATCCTAAATTTCATAATTACAGCTTTTTAGTTGTGTTTTATAAACGAGGAGATGCTCTTGCGGTAAGTTTCTTTGTTATTAATGAGAATTCAATTGGTGTTCATTTTTTACCCTAAACAAAGTAAGGGTTAAGGAATATATTATGGAGATCTATGATGTTATAGTTATATTAGGAGTAATATATTAGGAATATATGGTTGAGAGATATTAGGGATGTGATTGAGAGAATAAAGGAATATGCTCAAAGTATGTTTAGCATATTCCTAATAATATGTAACATGTATTTAATTCCTATTAGTGTAAATATAAGAGATCAACAGAGCTCTAGAATAAAGTCTTTGGTTTCCCTCAGATTTAATTGCAACAGTAGTCTCCACCATAACTGATAATGATGCTCCTTTAAAATAAAAATAAAAATAAAAAATTCTCCTACTTTTGAGAAGAAAGTGCATATTTTTTGAAATATTATAGTGGAAGGATAGAGCAAATAAAACTAAGCATTTGATGCTTATAAATAGTAGCTTCTCTAGGCAAAAAATGGCAATCCTTATTGGACTTCTCTTGGGTCATGGAGGCATGCCCTGGTAAGCCTTGCTCTGTCCTTGAATTTAGCTTGAAAGTAAAATGATATCGGAGCATCACTTAGAGTGGCCATACTCACCATTGTCACAGATTATCTGTCACATAACACCCACAAATCATATACTAATGCTGCGTTAACTAGGTCACTTATCGAACTTGTCTTCTCTTACTTATAGCAGCAGTTCAGACTCATCTAGTACTCACTATAATCTAGTCAAGTCCTTATTGTTTAAACTCCTGTTTTTTTCCCCACCTAATGCCGTTGTTATGAAGATTTAGATGTCAGTCTAATTCTTGTTGTGATTCTTTCTATCATTCTGCAGAATCTTGTGAATACTAAATCATCCTTGATCATTTCCATTGATAGTTGCCGCTGTCAAATGTGTCACTAATTGTTGGGATGATCTTATTCTACATTGTTGTTTTTCGTTCATCTTTACTGTTTCCTTCTGCACTTAAAAGTTTTAGTCGTGTTAATCAGATTAAAGGAGTTAGATCAGCTTAACTGGGAGTGAGGGGTATTGGTGATTAAAATGTTTAACTTTTACCAAACATCTAAGGCTTACATTATCATGATTATTTTTGTTAGCATCCCTACATAAATGACATAACACTGCTTCTTATTTCAGCATTAATTGCATCAGCAATTGTATAATCTTTGCATCAATAGTTTTTCCCTTATCATTTCGTTTGATTAGTGATGTGTATCTGATTTATCTATTACCTAATTTTGGCATGAAGGTTGTTGGATTGCATGGTGGTGCTTTGCTTGGTGTTGCATATCGGACATCTCGGAGGATTAGTCCTCTGACTGCAACTGCTATTTCAAGTATTCAATCAATGCCATTATCAGGCTTTGGCACTGGTGGTGTTTCATCTTTTGCTGATGAAAGGTCTTCTACAGAGGCGGCGCCTCAAAATTTCCAGCTATACAGGTAGAAGTTTGTTCAACAAGCATCCTAGTTATTGAAGTTGAAGAAAATCATCCAGTGTTTGCTCATAGTTGTTCCTTCATAGATTGATGAAGATCTTAGAACCTGTTTACTTATCGAGTTGAGCAAATTTTGCTGCATTTTGAGCGCCCTGTCTATTCTATACTACATTCGCAACAACTGAAATATGCTAAAATACTACCGTCTATCAAATTTTCTCAAAATGAAATTTTAGATTTGTTACTAATAGAATCTTTACAAATATGAAACTACTATGTGGATGATTTTTTAATTGTAAATACTATTCTTTCTGTTACACATTTTATTTTTTGTTCAGATACTAGATTTGGTACAAGTTTATCATAATTTCTTAGTTTTATTTCTCATTCAGATAAACCATGGCATACTTTCAGCACTCAAGCACAATGTTTTAAAATGCTAGCGCCTAGCCTTCCTAGGCCTAGGTGGTACCTAAGGCACCTGCCTAGGTCTTGGGAGCATCTAGGCGAGCATGAGCTGATTACACGGTCTGCACCGCTTAGCTCTTGGTCGTGATTTCCTCCATTACAGCCTCCACGTCCTCTAGTCTCCTGTGAACTCCTCTGGCCTGTTCCACCTTCTCCACCTCCTTCGACATTTCAAAAAACCTCCTTCACCATCACTAAAACAAAAAATGAAAACCGCCTAGGCCCCACCTTGGCTTCTGCTTGGGCACTAGGTATTGGGTTTGGCCGCCTAGCGCTTTCTGTAACATTGGGCAAGCATTAGTTTAATCTGCTCTTTTTTGGACAAGAACTCAGATTTTCTTTCCCTTTTAGATTAGACGTGCTATGATTAGATCGAACAAAAACTACTTCAGCCTTAGTTTCCTATATGCTCTTTGATTAGCAAATCAAAATTTCTTTGGAAAATACAATTTTTTAGTCAAAGTTGTTTAATGTTCACAAAATATGACTGCAGTTCACCTTTAGTTTTACTTTTCTACAAGTCTTTTTTGAACCATGCAAGATATGTGTGGGAAGACTAGTATCTTATAATTTGCAATTGAATTTCGTACTTACGCTGATAACATTCAAATGTTGCAGTTGGGAAACTTTTCAACCTGTAAGCGGCCTTCTTTCCCAGCCTGAGTGGACTGCATGGGACCAAACTGTTGAGTATTGTGCCTTTGCTTACCATCAATACATTGTCATATCCTCGCTGCGCCCGCAATATAGGTTTCTTGGGGATGTTGCAATTCCATCTGCCACCAGTGGTGTTTGGCATCGCAGGCAGCTTTTTGTTGCTACACCGACTACTATTGAGTAAGTTTATTTACTTTATGAACCTTGTGTGACTATGGGATTGTATGGACAATGATCTGTCTATTGTTATAATCTAATTAAATATATGTACATGCGTTTAAATGCTCCCAAATCAAATTTTAGAAAAATGCTTTTGAAACACTGAGATTCTTTATTGAAGATGATGAGTTCTATTGTTTTCAGCAGACTTCTCAATTGCAGGATGATAATACATTATTTACCATTAAGGCATTAACACTACTTATATTATAGATCCATGGTTTTAACGGGAGAAAAATATTACTTGATAAGGTTCCTTAAGTCTCAAAAGAGTTTGAGCTGAGCTGAGCTGAGCTGAATAGGGCTGGTTAAGAGTGAACGTAGCTCTGGTTTCACTTTAAATCTTCTTCCGCTGTCCAAAATTAATCTCTTGGAGTGAAATAACCTTTTTGATCTGCTTCTGGGAAAACATTTTTTTCGTAATCTCCTCTTATCTCTATAGATCCCCACTTCATACCCCAACATGATCTGCTAACCTCAATCGAGAAAGATTGAAGATGATAAACAGGTCAGGAATTTCGTAGCAATAAAATTTGTGACCATTTTTGAATGGGCCGCACTCAGGTGGATATTTGCTGTTTAGTTACGACCTAAGATATTCAATTTAGAATCGTAGCAGGCTTAGCTTCTGTTGAAATCTCATATCTGATACTCCCAGTTGAATGGATTCCTTATATGGTAGCCTTTGTGTGAAAGGAAACCAATGAGCATAGTTTGATTCAATTATTGATGAGCAAGCCTATAGTGCAATCCTTTAGTTGGTAATGATTGGCTTTAAATGTTGTGAACTTGATAAGTGATGGTTATGGAATTGATATTTCATGAAGAAAAAACAGCAGTTTAAATCCTAATGCACCTGAACCGATATCTACTTGGATGTTATTAGGTTACTAACATTTTAACGTGTGCCATATCGGTTAAATATTCCTTGGCGCATGTAATGAGATTTATGAGTATTCAATGATTTCTACTGCTTATATCTGCTATCTAAACCATTGTTCCTTTGTCAGGTGTGTTTTTGTTGATGCTGGAGTTGCAGCTATTGATCTTGAAACTAAAAGGAGAAAAGAAGAAATGAAGGCCAAGGAAGCTCAAAGCAGAGCAGTTGCTGAGCATGGTGAGTTGGCACTTATTGCGGTCGACACCCCACAAGTTTCTCAAACTGAAAGAGTCTCCTTAAGGCCTCCAATGTTGCAGGTAACTATGTTTTGCTTCCTGCAAGTGTTTATTATTGTCAAAGTTCATTAACTACTTTTTTATTCTGGTAGCACTTATCAAGTCAGAGTGGGTTGGTATAACATGTACATCTCCCTTGGGAACTACTCTTAAATGAAGTTCAGTTAGTAGAATATGCATGGCCATCCTACAATGCTTTTTGAAAGATCTAGAGTCTAGGTATAGTCTGAAAAATATTGTTTGTGATGTACATACACCGAGGTTAAAGCTTTAGAACTCTGAACTGCAAAATTCCATTGCTTTCTCTGTTCAGTCAGTATACTCATTATCCTATGTATCAAGCACTTTTGCAGGAGTTTTATAATTTGTTATCGATCGAGAATTTGAGAAATAAAATGGTATTTGAGGCTCTTGCCTTGACAGGAAATCCTAGTTGAGGTGTTCACATGCATTTAGTTGCCAACTAAAAATAAATAGCAATGTTCATTGCTCGTTGTTAGTTATGTTTGGAGTTTATCATGTGTAGATTATTTCTGAGTCCGCAGTACATTCCACAGTGCCCAATGCGCTCAAGCAGGGATGAGATCAACTTTGACAATATTTAATGTTGAACCACATGCTTGTATTGGTTAACAATTTTATAATTTTTTGTTGTTGTCGATTACTTCTTAATCTTTGAAGACGTTGTAGATCATAGCGTTGTTCCATTGTTAGTATGCGGTACATTCCATTCTACAATTTTTCCATAATCAGTTCCAGGATACTGCTCATGGAATGTCAAAGCAGTGATATGACGCATGTTTAAGTAAATTTGTGACATTTGATTTTAACGTTCCTTCGGAAAGCTCAACTGAGTGCCGTGACAATTTTCCGATTCAGGTTGTGCGGCTAGCCTCCTTTCAGCACACACCTTCAATACCACCGTTCGTAGCATTGCCGAAACAGTCAAAAATAGATGGGGAGAATGTCGCTAGCCAGAAGGAGGCACATGAAAGAAAAGTCAGTGAAGTTGCTGTTGCAGGTGGAGGAGTGTCTGTTGCTGTTACCAGATTTCCTCCTGAACAGAAACGTCCTGTGGGACCTCTTGTTGTTGTTGGTGTCAGAGATGGTGTCCTTTGGCTCATTGACAGGTACCCAGATCATTATTGCGTCATACTGTTAAAATTACATCCACCAGCCACATTGTTGTAACCTTTGTTCCATAGACTGCTGTACTGTTCGATACTTTTCATGGCACATATGAAAATTCTCCAGCAATTGCTTATTGATTATGATTATGTGTAGGGCAGGAGTTCTATACGAATCAGTACTAATAGATAGAACTCACAAGATCTCGCTTTTGTATGGCTTAATAAGGTGGCATTGTTCTTCAAAACTTCAATCTTACCCTACCTATATAGAATATGTTAGTTGTACATATTCATCAATAATTATATGCCATAGTAGAGAAGCTATGCAATCAGCATGTCTATGGTCAGCAATTGTTTTAACATTTCTTGTCTATTTTGTAATTGGCAAATTGAAAATCACTACATACCCATGAATGTGTTGGCATGTGCTACTAACATTTGTGAAAGAAGAACTTTGCATAGAACCTCTGGTGAAATGTAATTTTTTTAAGGATTATTGAATAAATGTAATTATTAAAAGATATCTTTTTACGAAGAAACTTTTTTTTATTTACTTATCTGCAAGAGCAAGATAATATTTATAGTAGATTAATACATGTCTAAATTAAAATATAGAAATGATTTATCAGAGAGATAAAATAAGAAGTTAAACTTATTAAATGCTTGTTTGGAAAATGATTATGCTGGGCAGTTTAAGCTAAGTTAAATTTATCCAAATTTGAGTATGCGGGATTTATCTAAAAGATTTGAGTAAAAATTAGGTTATGATAAAATTGATGCTAATCCAAGTGCACGATATCGTCTTTCTAGTGTTTTTAGTAGTATATAAAAAATCCATTTTGACCAAAATTGTAAGACAAAACCTTGTTAGTATATCCTACCTGTTTGTTAATTAGGAAGATTAGTTTAGTGCATGTTCCTACTATTTTCTTGAAAAGTTATTTATGAAATTGGTGCTAATCCAAGTGTTTATAGTAAAACTTATATTAGAAAAAATAATACATATACTATCATGAAAATTCCCATCGACCAATCTCATCTTTCTGAAATTTCTCATTGTAACTAAATAATAACATTTCCATTTGGAGAAAATAAGCCAAATGTTTTTCTTTCTTTTTTGTATGTATGTTATGTATATCCATGCATGCATGCATGCATGCATACATGTATACATAAAGATATACACACACCCATGCCCACACCCCCACCCTCACCCGTGCACATGCACATGGCCACACTTGCATGCATCGAGGAGTTATACAGGTCAAAATACTTTTTTTTCTTTTTCATTTATCACCCTTTTAATTTATCATTGTTTACTGCATTAAAGTGCTCTAGTCTTTTGCTTGTATGCTGCAGTCAACTTTATTTCTAAGTTATAGGTATATGGATAGAACATAGCATGTCTTGGATGCCTACTATTTTTGCCTTTTTGCAGCTAGTAATATTCTTTGCTGATGCTTGACATATAATTTTTGCAGGTACATGTGTGTGCATGCCTTGGCCCTCAGCCATCCTGGTATTCGCTGCCGCTGTCTTGCTGCTTATGGAGATGCTGTTAGTGCAGTAAAATGGTATGAAGATAGTTTACTATAACTATTTCTACTGTGTATCTATTCTGCTGTGGCTAGCAGGATTGTTTAATGAACACTCTTGTGCTGACATGCATTATGACTGCAGGGCTAGTAGACTTGGACGTGAGCACCATGATGACTTGGCCCAGTTCATGCTTGGAATGGGATATGCAACTGAAGCTCTTCATTTACCTGGGATATCTAAGAGGTTTATAGTAGATTATCTGCATTTGATATGCTTTTTCTTGCCATATTATCCCACATATTCGTGCATTAATAACTTTTAATCAAATAAAGATTTAGTAGCAAGTGGACCAGAGCGTGGTATTAATTAGTTTTATTATTCCTCAGGTTGGAGTTTGACTTGGCTATGCAGAGTAATGACTTGAAAAGAGCTCTGCAATGCTTGTTGACAATGAGTAATAGCAGGGATGTTGTGCAAGAAAGTGCCAGTACGGATATAACTGAGATCTTAAGTTTGACAGCTGCCAAAAAGGAAAATCTAGTTGATGCTGTACAAGGAATCATGAAATTTGCGAAGGAGTTTATGGATCTTATTGATGCTGCTGATGCTACCGGACAGTCTGACATTGCCCGGGAAGCTCTGAAGAGATTAGCTGCTGCTGGTTCTGTCAAAGGTGCATTGCATGGTAACATTTTGAAAGGGGTAGCACTGCGGCTTGCAAATCATGGAGAGCTTACACGACTATCAGTATGTATCTGCAATACTTATAATTATATGCAACCACGCTATAGAATCATAGTATCCTTATTTTAATATACTTTTGGACATAAAACGTAACTGTTAAGAAGCAGTATTTTAGGGTCAGTGTCATCATATTTTAGAGATATAGCTTTCTACTGAGTTATAGTTGCATGTGCATCCTAAGGTCTGTTGTAGTGACTTATCTTTCATACACAAACTCAGATGTTTAGCTGGAGACACTAACATTCGATGTGTTACTTTGATGTGCAAGTAACTCATCTAGAGGTTACCAGCACCCTTGGCATACCAACTAAGTCATAATAAATTGACATGAGGGTGCACACGCCCTTTCTACTTGCTGTCCACGACTCCATAATTCGAGAGCACACGTGTTCTCACCCTGCTTGGTGTCCATTACGCCATATCTGAACTTGAGATTGGATATATCCTCACCAAACTCAACTTTAGGGACACAAACCCTCATTAAAACTCAAACTTGAGGAAGACGTAATCACAATTTTAGGACATGTGCACAAACTTGAGGAAAACATAATCATCAAGTTTCCCTACTTGATGCCCGTAAAGGTGATTACAATTTGAGGGCATGTGCACCCTACCACAACTAAACACAGGGACACACAAGTTTTAGGGCACATAACACCCTCATCCTATTAAGCTTTTGGATAGAATGATTATTTAGTTTGCCTATATCTAATCAATTAAATGCCCTATACACATGTATTTGCAGGTTCCTTCTTTTATGATTTTTCCTTACATTATATTACTTTTCGATACTCCCTATGTTCTATGTTTTCCCCAAAGTAAATGTATTTTTGATACAATTTTATACACCATAATTATTCCCAAAATAATGTCATCTTTCTAACATTTATTGCTCTGTTCTTAGAAGATTATAAACTATATACTCACGGCATATTTTTTACTTTTTGTAGGGTCTGGTAAATAATTTAATTACAGCCGGCCATGGGCGTGAAGCAGCCTTTGCAGCAGCAATTCTGGGAGATAATGCGCTGATGGAGAAGGCATGGCAGGACACTGGAATGCTTGCTGAGGCTGTACTCCATGCTCATGTAATTTACCAAACCCTGTTTTTGATACGTTTCATTTTAGCACTCTTGCCAATGTCTAAACAGGATAATACACGTGCTCACTAATAGATTTTACCATGATCTGGAAAACAAGTTAGGTATCTGAAATGTTTATTCTTTCTTTACTGTAGCAGTTTTATTTTCTATCTTCTGCATTCAGAGGCAATTCAAAGCAGTTTTAAGTTTATTACATACTAATAAATTAATATTTCACGAGATCAACTTAATGGACTTACATGATTCTACTTTATTAACTTAATGTCATTTGGAAGATATGAAGGTTACCCATATAGCAGCCCAAATTTATATATGTGCGTATAAACAGCATTTAAAAATGTATAGATGACACATCTGGTAGCAGCTTGTGTATCACTGTATCAGAATGTGTGAATTTTCAAATTAGTCAATTTACACAGATATGAAAACATTTAAAGGTTTGAAATGACCTAGCAGTTAAAAGCTTTCTCATCTAAAATAAATATTGTTGTACCCTTATCCTTCATTTATCATGTTATGGTTGAAGGAGAAATTGCGTGTTTGCCTACTCTCTCAATCTTAAACTTTTCCTTCAGGCCCACGGTCGGCCAACATTAAGAAACCTAGCGCAAGAATGGAACAAGATGCTACAAAAGGAGCTTGAGCCTACATCCCATGCCAAGACCGACGCTGCTTCAGCATTCTTGGCTTCTCTGGAGGAGCCCAAGCTCACAACCCTAGCAGAAGCAGGAAAGAAGCCACCTATAGAAATTCTTCCTCCGGGTATGGCGTCCTTAACTGCTCCTCCCATTACAATCAAGAAGTCTCCTGCTGCGCAAGTACCCACCTTGCCTCAGCCTGGGAAACCATTGATGCTTGAAGCAGCTCCACCT